ATGTAAATATTATTGTGTCTTTCTGTACTATTAACTATATTTTATATTAATGAGATTAAAAATAAACTAAACTACAGATATTCATAATGGTAGAAATATTAAAATGTGCAAAAAATTAAAGAGCAAACCACTGACGCATTGTTTTGTGTATTAATATAATACTCTAGAAATCAAACTTTTATTAAAAAACAAATTTCTCAATTAAGTTACATATATTGTGTAACAAAAAATTTTACCTCAGTGTCAACTAGCGACATCTGGTGAACAGAAAATTATTAGCCCTCATTATAATATAAAATATATAATGAAATAATTTAATTATTAATAATGAAATTGTAGTAGGGACCCGCCTCGGCTTCGCACGGGTGATTTCTGGATCTCGTCAACAGCGCCATCTACCGGGCCCAATTGTAAATATAAGCCATCCAGGCACCCAATCAAATAAACAAAAAAAATTTTTTGAAAATTGTTTGAACCGTTTTCAAGTTTTAGCGAGACTAGCGGACATCAATTGTTTTTTTTTTTTTATTTTTTTTTTTTTTTTTTTATAGGAGAGGGGGCAAACGAGCATGCGGCTCACCTGATGGTAAGTGACTACCGCCGCCCATGAACAACCGCAACACCAGGGGAATTGCAGATGCGTTGCCGGCCTTTTAAAAAGGAGTAGGCTCTTTTCTTGAAGGTCCCTAAGTCGTATCGGTCCGGAAAAATCGCTGATGGTAATCGATTCCACAAGGAAGTCGTGCGAGGAAGAAAACATCTTCTAAATCGCACAGTGGTGGACCGCCAATCATCCAGATGGTGTGGATGGTATCGGGAGTTCTGCCGCGATGTGCGTTCATGAAATTTGGCGGCTGGGATTAATCCGAACAATTCCTCAGAGCACTCCCCATGGTAGATGCGAAAGAAAATGCAAAGAGATGCAACATCTCTTCGCAGTGCCAATGAATCGAGCCGATCGGAAAGGGCTCGGTCGTCGACGATTCGAGCCGCTCTGCGCTGGATGCGGTCAAGTGGAAGGAGCTGGCACTGGGGAGCCCCTGCCCAGAGATGGGAACAGTATTCCATGTGAGGCCGAACCTGCGCCTTGTAAAGTTGCAGGCGGTGTGCCGGCATGAAATACTGTCCCGCTCTGCTGAGCACGCCAAGCTTTTTAGAGGCCAATTTGGCCTTCTCTTCCAAGTGACCACGAAACTGCACGTCACTCGATATGTCGACTCCGAGGATACCGATACTGGCTGAGGCAAGAAGGGGAGTGCCTTGAAACTGAGGAGATACGACAAAGGGGTTCTTTTTAGCGGTAAACGCGCAAACTTGTGTCTTCTGAGGATTAAACTGGACTAGATTTAGTCGCCCCCAATCCGAGACTTTGTCCAGCAAAGACTCGACTTCAGACACAAGTTTGTTCCGGTACTCGGCGACGTTTTCCCGAGAAATATTGGCCCGGCCGGTGTATAGAGCATCACCAGTGCTGTCATCCGCATAGCAATGAATGTTACCAGTTAGCAACATATCATTGATATGCAGAAGAAACAGCGTTGGTGATAGCACACAGCCTTGTGGAACACCAGCGTTAATGGGCTTGTAGTCAGAACATGCACCGTCTACAACGACCTTGATGCTCCGATCTGCAAGGAAGCTGGTGATCCAATTGCACAATTTCTCGGGAAGCCCATAGGAAGGGAGCTTCGAAAGAAGCGCTTTGTGCCAAACCCGATCGAAGGCCTTCGCAATGTCCAAACTAACGGCCAACGCCTCCCCCTTGGACTCTACTGCCTCCGCCCATCTATGGGTCAGGTAGACTAGAAGATCACCAGCTGATCGACCCCGACGAAAACCGTATTGGCGGTCACTGATCAGCTGGTGATCCTCAAGGTACCGGATGAGCTGGCAGTTAATAATGGATTCCATTATTTTGGAGAACAAGGAGGTGATCGCGATAGGCCTATAGTTGGACGGGTCTGAGCGGTCGCCTTTTTTAGGGATCGGGTGGACAAAAGCTGTCTTCCATGAGTTCGGGACAACGCCTTGGGAGTAGGAGTACCGGAAAAGACGCGTTAGAACCGGTGCCAACTCCGGAGCACACGTCCTCAGCACAATTGGGGGGATTCCGTCAGGCCCACTGGACTTGTGGATGTCAAGGGAGAGGAGTGCTCTGCGAACCGAGCGCTGTGAGAATAGCACATCCGGCATAGAGCACTCACACCGCGGGATGGTCGGCGGTGTTTTCCCCCCGTCATCAACAGTCGAGTTGGACGCAAAAAGGGAGCCTAAAAGGTCGGCCTTCTCTTTTGCGTCGTGGGCCAGTGAGTCGTCCTCCCTGTGCAGAGATGGTAGTGATGGCTTACAGAAATTCCCATGGACAGCCTTGGCGAGAGACCAGAATGCACGGGTTCCCGAAGGAAGGCGAACTAGTTTCTCGCCAATTCTGCCTATGTGCTCTGACTTTGCCTTGGCAATAACTCTTTTGAAGGACCTGGAGGCGAAGTTATACTTCTTTTTAAGTGTGCTGGTGTTTACATCCCGAGTCACCGAAGCCGCAGCCCAGGCTTGATAACACTCCTGCTTTCTGCGCAATGCAGTCTTACAGGAGCGACCAAACCAAGGCTGAGATCTGCCTCCGATGGGTACCACAGATGATGGAATAAATAGTTCCATTCCCTGTAGCACCACATCAGTGACAGAGTCAGCAACAGCGCTGGGATCATCCGGCGAGAAGCAAACCCGCCCCCATGGGTAGGATGCAAAGAAAGACCGCATTCCGTCCCAATCCGCCGACCTGTAATGCCAAACACGGCGGCAACCTGCAGAACGCAACCGCGAAGGGAGCGTGAGTGGCACCGTACTCCGGATCAGACAATGGTCCGAAGAGCCGAGAGGGGCATCGACGGAAACCTGATATCCGTCCGGATGAGAGGTCAGCAGAAGGTCCAACAGGGAAGGTGTATGATCCTCCACATCTGGAATCCGCGTAGGCGAAGTAACCAGTTGTGTCAGACCATATGCCAAAGCAAAGTCATAAACAGATCTCCCCGCATGATCGGTTAAACGTGAACCGAGCCATTCGGCATGGTGGGCGTTAAAATCGCCAAGGATCACGATCTCTGCGGATGGGATCTGTTGTAGCAAGGAATCTGTAGCCATTTGGACGTGGTCGATGAGTCGGTCTGTTTCGGCATTACCGCTATGGGACCTATAGAGGCACCCGTAGACGCGCGGATGGTCGTCGCTGTCTACGCGTAGCCAAAGGATGGACAGGTCCGAACCTTCAAGACTGCCGAGGCGTCGAGAACAGATGTCCTCTCTGACATACACGCAAACTCCAGCCCGAGGCACAAAGGAGTGCTCCAATTTGTACCCCGGGCAGGAGAGATACGAAATATCAGCCGGAGAGGAAACCTGCGTCTCGGTCAGAAAGAGCAAGGCCGGCTTCGCCGTCTCGAGATGGTAGTGGACGGCGTTTAGGTTAGAGTGAAGTCCCCTGATGTTGCAGAAATTCACGGATAGCGTGGCAGGGGTCGCCTTGGTATTGTTGCTCAGTTTGCCCCAAGCAGTTTTGTTTTTGAGCGGAATTTTGCCCCCCCAGAATACGCGGGGCAGCCTGAGCACCCACGCTCAGGATTGGAATAACATGGTCGTGGATGCTCAGCGAGGGATTCTCCAGGGGTACTGGTACCCTCCTGGGGTAGTCTACTTTGTAATTCCGCTACCATGTTGATGGGGGGGGGGGGGGGAATTGGGCCTCCGGCCACCTGCACTCACCAGACGAAACGCAGTAAAGATGTAATTTTTTAAAGATCTATTCTATTTCATTACCTGTATACACAGATAAAAATAAATTTGAATTTGAATTGGCGATCGCTGTAGGTACATACCAGACATCACGCACCTTTGACGCCTATCCTCGTCATAAGTCTGGGTATTTAACGCCCCGCGTAAATAAGATTGCTTTACCGCAATATATCGGAATCCATAAGACCTCTCTGGAGTTTCCTTTACTCCTCTTTACGATACCCACTGGACGAAATGGGATGAAGGATTCTTTTACGTCACCACTATACAGTGTAATATATAAATGAAAATCATACGTGGTAGAGCCACGCTGCAGCTATATTATGGTTGTAGCACGAATGGTCGGTTCGACCGGGGAAGGACCGCGCTATCACAGAATACAAGTAAAACAAATGAAACGGCAGCTTAACGCTGCTGTGTTTCGTATGGTGAGTATAGAGAACCGGATACCCTTTTTTACTGGAAACGAGACACTCCATCTCAGTTCTTATTGGTAACGATGGATCTGAATTTTGATTCCTAATCTAGGATAGACGTAGATGCCTATGGGCCACAGCATCCATTCACCGTCAGGTGAACTGTGTGCTTGTTTTTTATCCTTATTTTGTTTTAACATAAAATGGGATGAAGGATTCTTTTACGCCGCCTCTATACGGTGTATTGAAAATATTTTTAAACTGAAAATAAATTATTATTCATATTTCGTTGCTGCTTGGTTATATTTAATCATCATCATTCATTATAGCCTTGACACCGTGTATCATCCCGTGGGTGTCGTAAGAGACGACAGAGGGAAACAAATCAGGACATGGGCAGCAGCGTCTTCCTAATAACGATTAAAAGTAAAAACCCGCGGTTGCCAACCCGCTTGCCAAGCGTGGCAACTATGGCAAATATCCCCCTATAAGGTAATCTATGGGGAAGACCTATATCCAGCAGTGGATTTTAATAGGCCGCAACGGCAACGGTATTCATTACAGCCTATCGAAAGCCCACAACTGAACATAGATCTGTCCCATAGATTGCCTCATACATGGGAGATATTTGCCAAGGTGCCAGGTTCGAGACGTCTGGAACTGCAGCCGTAAATTCGCCTGCCAAGCGTGTCGATTAAGGCAAGTCCTGTATACAATGGTAGAGGCGTATGCCCAGCTGTGAACTTGAAGAAGATGGTGATTATAGTGATTAAGATGGAGTTTATATTACAGTGCGATGAGGGCGGCGGCGCAACTGAGGGCATTAAGACGGAACCACCCGAGACCGAGGAGCCTCGCGCCATGCAGAAGGTTCCGTCATTATCGGACCTCTCTGATCCTGAAGCATCCCTGGGTAAGTACCTAGTTGTTTAATCATGATTTTTTCTTTCTATAGATGGAACTACCTGAACTGTTATCAACATCACCATTTATTACTGCTCATCAATCATTTGAAAAATATTATAAAAAGAAGAATCTTCCCGCTATTTCTGTTTTATAAAGATTAATAAAAATAAAATTTAGTTGCGTAATATTTATTTGTGTTTGCCGTTTACAAGAAAAACTCCGAGTAAATTACGTACTAATGGAATGTAGATGTTTAGTTATTTTAGTTATGCCATTACATAATATATTGCTAATATAGTCTGTATGTTGACGACGTCTGTTGACGATATATCTTTTTTTTTATAGTATAGGGTGACAAACGAGCACACAGTCCACCTGATGGTAAGTGGTTGCTGTGACCCATAGACATCTACATCTATCCTCAATAAAGAATTAAAATGTAGATGCGTTGTCACCCGTGAGGACTAAGATGGCATGTCTCTTTTCCAGTAAAAAGGGTCTCCGGTTCTCTACATTCACCATACTAAACACAGCAGCGTTAAGCGCTATTTTACGCTGGTATTCTGTGAGAGCGTGGTCCTTCCCCGGTCGAGCCGACCCATTCGTGCTACAACTATACTATAATATAGCTACAGCATGGCTCTACCATGTGTATGTCGTCAGTCGATTATAAATATATGAGTATTCAGAAGAAATTGTTCATAGGCATTATTCATTTAACGTATATACGATAAGTTTTAAATTTTTAAACTATGTCTATACTGACGTAGTTTCAACACAACACAATACAGCAGTCTAATATAGAATGTACGAAGACTAGAGGTTCGAGCCCTATCATCGCCTTCAAGTATGTATGAAGTCAGTGAAAAACGTGACTCTGGTACTTGGCGTTTAATAAACTCATTTCCTTCTAAAACGCTAATACTAGATTTTAGAGGTTTACCTCTGCGTTTCACTTGGTGAGTGCAGGTGGCCGGAGGCCCTTTTTACTGGAAATGAGGCATTCCATCTTAGTCCTCACGGGTGACAACGCATCTACATTTTGATTTGTAATAGAGGATAGATGTAGATGTCTATGGGCCGCAGCAACCACTTACCATCAGGTGGACTGTGTGCTCGTTTATCACCCTTATCGTAAAAAAAAAAACCTAGCTAATTCCTTTCCCGTTATCATGTCGCAACAGAACTGAAGGTTGTCTGTGACAGATCCAATCATAGCATCACACCTTATGACACTTCCAAGGCGTAATTAATTCGATGAGGAAGCTCCCAGTTGGCTAGCTCAATTCACTTAGTTTCCTGCAACATGAAATCACTACTTTCTACAACCCATTTTATCTACATTATAAACCATTTTACTGTGAACAACTTTAGTTACAAGTTGTTCACAATTTAAGTTTTATATATAATTAGCTATTCTTTTATTAAATTATGTTTTAATGAATACTGGGACACTATTTAATTCAGTGACATATATTTTTATATAATACTAGCTGACCAGGCAAACGTTGTTCTGCCCTTTCCGACGACCATTTAATTGCCTAAAAAAACTACAAAAACAAAATTGAGGGTTACTTATCGGGATAAAAAATATCCTATGTCTCAAGTTGGACCAAACTGAACACAGTGTGCACAATTTCATAAAAATCAGTTCAGTAGTTTAGGAGTCTATTGCGGACAAACAATGTGACACGTACTTTTTATATAATATAAAGATAATATGTATCTGATGTATACAAGAATAATAATTTCAGTTATTTACGACAAGTAAAAATCCTATTATTTAACCGCTCTCTCAGTTACGCAAATCTTTTAAACCCTCAGTTATAAGACTTGCGTAACTCAGTTAATTTTATAAAACTTTATTTTCTTGTATAAAAACCTATTCCTCTGTTAATTGAATATTAAAATTAAAAATTTTGTACAATCGACTTTAATATATATTATTAAGAATAACTTAAAAACTATTGGTCAGACCTTGATCAAATTTATATGAGACTACATGAGAAGCACCAGCTTTCTAATAAAAAAGCATCATCGAGTCGGTTCACCCAGAAAAAAGTTGAGGTAATAAATAAAAGAAAAAAAACATACAGTCGAGTTGAGTACCGTCTTCTTTTTGAGGTCGGTAGAAAATTCGTTTAATCTGGAATAATTTGCGTTTTTGTTTTTACTTTCTCATCGTTATCGTCACTATTATATCAGCCCTTATAACCGCAGTTAAGCTCATAACTTAATTATAATCACTTAAATTAATTCAAAAATTTATTTCAAAATAATTATAAACTTTATTTTTTCTTTCATTCATCATTTATTCATTACCGCCTGAATTAATTATATTATACTATGCAATTGCCTTTTGCAAATCAGTGTAATACAACTAATGTAATATCTGCCTGTTTCTTTTTGTTTTCAGTCGTTTAGTTTAAAAGTTTATATAATTTTGAAATTAGAACAAGCGAGTTTTTAAAAATAAAATTACCACGTTTTTTATCATATTCTTGCATTGTCATCCGAACTTGAGCTACGTTCAATATTTCAAATTTCCAGCTCAGCTCAAAAGTTAGTTTAAAATCATTTAATAAATTCCACCCGGAATGACAAACAAATAAGAAAGTGACTTAATAAAAACGTGGTAATAAATTAGATACGGTAATTTCTCAGCGTTCGATCTGGACGATAGGGTACTCGATATAGACTATGAATGATTAACAAATAGGTGAAGCCTGAATAGGATAATACGGCTCATCCTTGTTACGAGCACCGACTGCACTTTCAGGCAGCAGGAGCATGACGCTTACATAACCCAATTTACATGATCTTTCTTCTAATTTGTTTTAATAAGTAATCTGCATTCAGAATATGTGTTGTTTTGGGCTGTGAATTCAGAAGTACTAGAGCAATTATTATGGATAGTGGTATTGTATAAAGGATGAGCGTTACATAATGGAGACGGATGAAAATTAATGATATACACAAACGTGCTTTCCGCTTTTATGACTTTACCGTTATTGCCTTAGTGTTTTTTCTAAATATTAGCGTTTAATTTATAATATCGGTAATATGTGATTTGAACCTAAATTTTCTTATTAAAAAGACACACACAAAACATAAAGAATTGGTAAAAATTGTTTTTTAAATTTTTCTACTTATTTCCATCCGACCAGGATACCAAAAATAAAGAGGACCAGTTTTAATATAACAGGCACAAATACCAATTACTGTAGATGTTTATTGCCTTATCCCTCACCTTGTGCGTGATATGGTGCGTATCAGATATCCGGGGCCTAATTATTTTATTCCACAAATGAGGTTAACGTACCAACAGACTAACGTATCGAAGTTTGTTAGTCTCCTCCAGGGTGGGCCATGCATACGGGCCCATTGTTTCATGTGTCTTTGTTTATGTACATATTTTAACGTGGGAACATCGGGTATATTGCCCTTATGTATTCACGTACCCAAACATCATGCTAGTGTTTACATTTCTTTAGCTTATTGAAAATTACATATCACTTGTTATTTTGTTTAAGACGCAATGTTTTGTTATGTTTTACTTTTAATAGATTGTCTTACTTTCTGTAAAGTACCTACTCCTTGATTAATCTCAATTTTGGATTCAATATAAATTTACTTAAGAAACTAAAAATTCTTTAGAACATCTCAAAACAATATAAACTACTAGAATTTTTAAATCTTTAATAATTTAAATTAAACATTAAAAAAAACCCCGAAATAAAAAGAGTTGATGATCTTCAAACGGCTGAACAGATTTTCTTGAAACATAATTAAGAACATTCTCGATTAAGACACCTTTCAAACGAAAATACTTTAATCAAAATTGGTTCATCCGTTCAGGAGCTATGATGCCACAGACAGACATAGAGAGATACACAGATAGATACAAAGATACACTAAAAAATATTATAACACCTCTTTGTGTTCATCGGGGGTTAAAAATAGGTAACAATTTAAAATCCTTTCGCGAATATTCTCTATTTTATAGACCTGCTATATATACATGAATTTAGATACGTGGTACAGCCATGCTGCAGCTATATTAGTAGTATAGTTGTAGCACGAATGGGTCGGCTCGACCGGGGAAGGACTACGCTCTCACAGAATACCAGCGTAAAATAGCAGCTTAACGCTGCTGTGTTTCGTATGGTGAGTGTAGAGAACCGGAGACCCTTTTTACTGGAAAAGAGGCATTCCATTTTAGTCCTCACGAGTTACAACGCATCTGCATTTTGATTCTTTATTGAGGATAGATGTAGATGTCTATGGGTCACAGCAACCACTTACCATCAGGTGGACTGTGTGCTCGTTTGTCACCCTATCTTATTAAAAAAAAAATGATGTTTGTAGTATTTGATTTATTTACCTACTTAAGTACTTAGGCAATTTCATATAACTTCTCTGTGTTTATCTCGAAGTTGTTGTAACAAAGTATTTCTAGAAGTAGGAAGAATTCGAGTCAGGGGTTAAGGGAAAATCATAACTGCGTAAGTAACAATAGTTTTTTTTTATTATTATAGATAACAATAAAAAAAAGTATTATGATTTACGCAATATTTTACCGCTGTGTTAAAAATGGCACACATTACACGATTATTTATAAAGCTATAGATATGAATACGATTTTCCTGTGCAATTTAATTAGTGAAAAACAAAAGCAAAAGCTGAATGAAATTTGAATGTGAATGAACGCCCGAATGCAATATACTCGCGTTCCGAGCGAATTAATCTCGACACGGTGAACTGCACTTTGTAATTGCAAGTCTGGTGACATATTAACTGGATTTATTAGCGCAACACACCCCGCAACGAACCAAATCTACCATTTCGAATATTTTGTTATAATGTTACTTCAAATCTCTGTAAATTTTAATAACATCAAATTTATATAAACGGAGTTATTTTAGATGTTAGGTTAGTTGTCATCAAAAAAGTTGTCATCGAAGTTTGCCCACGTTTTTGACACCTACTTCGTTTCCGAAGGTCTTA